GATGTTATTTTGTAGATAAAATTAAGTATACCGTCTCTAGTATACTATCTCTATATTAACAATTCTATGGGTTTTTGAAGTTAAAATAAACTTTAGAAACTTCTACATCTCAAAATAGGGAGGATCCACATAAAACTCATTATTCACTGATACAACATAGATTAATTTCTGTTGACTTTCTTTAGAATTTAATATATGTTGTATCGATAAGTAATGTGTTATATATGGATCCCCCTATTCTGGGGTGTCGAAGATTCTTAAGTTTACTTTAACTTCAAAATCAGATGAAAAGCCCTGGTGGTGCAGTGGTTAAGTGCTTGGTTGCTGACAGAAAGGTAAGTGGCTACTTACAGAAAGATCAGTCACTTTATGGGAGAAAAATATGACAATCTGCTTCCTTTAAGATTACAGCCTTGGAAAAGCTCAGGGAAGATCTACTCCATCCTACAGGGTCGCTATGAGTTGGAATCGACTCACCGGCACACAACAACAACATATAAAGAAAAAGGTCAGCGGTGGTTCAGTGGTAGTCCTCTGTGTGGGAAACCCAGGCTACATTTCTGGCCAATGTAACTCATGCACTGTCACCACTGGTCTGTCAATGGTAGATTCCGTGTTGCTACGATGCTGAACAGATTTCAGCAGAGGTTCCATACTAAAACAGACTAAGAATAAACGCCTATCGATCAGCTTCTGAAGATCAGCCAGTGAAAACCCATGGATCGCAAGGGTCCCATCCAAAACAGATCATAGGGATGGTGCAGGACTGGCCAGCATTTTATTTCACTATGCTTGGGGTCACTATGAATTGAGGGCTAAGTCAATGACAGATAACAACAAAAAAAATGTGAATTGTTTTTCCATTGTTTCTACAAATATAATTTCTTTAGATAAAACTACTTGAAAGCTAGTATCAACCCTCTGTTTCTTCCCAGAAGAGATACCTTGACTAAATGGGCCAACAGAATCTAACAGTGCTGCCTGAATTCATTCTAACGCGAGTCACAAGGCACCCTGAGCTGCAGTTTCTCCTTTTTGGGGTCTTTCTCATCATCTACATGATCACAGTGGTGGGCAACCTGGGCATGATCATCTTGACTAAGGTGGACTCCCACCTACACACACCTATGTATTTTTTCATCAGATACCTGGCCTTTATTGATCTTGGTAATTCTACTGCCATTGCCCGAAGGTGCTAGAAAATTTTGCTGTGGATCAAAGTACTATTTCCTATTATGCATGTGCCACACAGATGGCTTTCCTCATTTTGTTCATTGTCAGTGAACTTTTTATGCCGTCGGCTACGGCTTATGCATCATCCCCATGACCAGTTGAGGATTGTACCCTTGTAATCCATAAGGTTTTCATTGGCTGATTTTTGAAGTAGGTCACCAGGCCTTTCTTCCTAGTCCATCTTAGTCTGGAAGCTCCACTGAAACCTGTTCAACATCATCTCAACACACAAGCATCCACTGACAGATAGATAGTGGCTGTGCATGAAGTGCATTGGCCAAGAATTGCACCTAAGTCTCCCACATGGAAGGCGAGAATTCTGAACCACCAATGCCTCCATCAGTCATTACGGAAATGCAGATCAAACTACAATAAAATACCACTTCACACCCATTAGGATGGCTATCATCAAGAAAGCAGAAAACATCAAGTATTGGAGAAATTAAACTCTCGTGCATTGCTGGTGGGAATAAAATGATGCAGTCATTCTAGAAAGTTTGGTGATTCCTTACAAATTTAAACATACAATTTCCATATGGACTAGCAATTCCAATTTTAAGTATATCCAAAAAGAATGGAAAGCATTAACTCAAACAGACACATGTACATCAGTGTTATCACAGCATTATTCACAATAGCCCAAAGCTGGAAACAACCGAAGTATCCATCTAAAGATGAATGGATAAAACAAATGTGGTAAACACATACAGTGAAGTATTATTCAGCCATAAGGAGAAATAAAGTTTTGATACATGACATCACATATATTAGCCTTGAAAACATTATGCTCACTGAAATGTCAGATGCAAAAGAAAAATTATTGTCTGATCTGACTTATATGAAATATCTAGAATAAGCAAATTTGTCAAGACAGAAGAATATCAGTGTTTCCCAGTGGTCAGGGAAGGAGCACTGGGGAGTCAGAAATAAATTATATTTAACAAATAAAATAAAATAAATTTATAAAACAATGATTTAAAAAAAGAACAAGTAGAGTCTTGGATAGAAATTTTAATATTCTTACCGGAATATAATAAAATGCAGCATTCATTAACATAAACTTCACAATATTTAGCATCCAAAAAAAAAAATACTAGAGCTATGAGAAATTAAAAACATTATGCTAATCAGAAAATCCTAACATATGAAGTAGATTATGAAATTATGGTGATGATAGAATTCGTAGGCAAGAATTTTAAAAATGTTATTTTAAATATGTTTGTATGTTCAAGGATTTAAAAATAAAATGAACATAATTAAATAAATGGAAGATTAAAAAATAACCAAATGGGACTTCTAGTGATGAAATTACAACATTGCTACAAAATGAATTATTGAATGAGAGTAACAGCCAATTTATACACTGATAAAGTGAACTTAAACGTATTACGGTAGAGACGATCCAAAATGACACTGAAAGAAAACAAAATACTAGAAAAAAACAACAGTAGCAACATGAAAATAGTCCTGGTGATCTGTGAAACAATAGTAACTTATCTATGTTCAATTGTAGGTCCAGGAGGAATGAAGAACTTACATGGGACAGAACAAATATTAGAAGAAATGGCAGGGATTTTTTTCAAATGTATAAAAAAACCTATAATACCAAAGAACTCCAAGCAGAATAAACAGAAAATCTCACCAAAGCATATCACAATCAAACTGTTTAAAACCAATGATAAGTAGAAATCATTAAAAGTAGCCAGAGATAAAAAGCAAACTACATACAAAGGAACAAAGAAAAGAATGGCTACAAATTTCTATGCAAAAACAATACAAATCATAAGACTTTGTCTAATGTTAACCTAGAATTCTATAGCCAGCAAAAATATCCTTGGTTAATAGATTTGGTATTATTGACTATTGCATAATCTTATTCTGGGAGCCATTATTTCACTTACTCATCTATTATGTGTGTGTGTGCGTGTGTATAAGTAGTATACCTACTACATGCATGATATAGCATAATATGAGATACTGACAAAGATATATTTCTGATGTCCAGTGTTTAGTGATTTTGTGTAATTCATTTATTCACTTAGACCCTGGCACACAATGCCTTTGACTTTTGCCTAATGGGACTTTTGAAGAATAATTAACAGATATCCAGAACATTTTCCCTGAGGCAATTATATGCAGTGTGTTTATTTTTTAATCAGTGTAAAGCTTCAACAAAAGGAGCCCCAAGGGGATTTAAAAAAAAACAAACAAACAAAAAAAACACTTAAATCCTTCCTTCAACAACCAATGAGAATTAAAGCAGGAGGAAGCCAAAGCAGATTCTCCATTAAGGTGAGTACAAAATAATGATCTTTGAAACTTTGTCGGGACATACAGGTTAAATCAGATCATCACCAAAGATTTTGAAGGTCCTTATGCTCTGCAAAACTCTTTCTTCGTTTGCTACATGCTTTTCTTTTATTAGTTGGGTTAATGTGTGTGGAAGACGTCTTACACAGTCCCTGCTATTCTCTGCTGTGCATTGTTTAGACCACCGTAGTTTTCAAATTAGCTTGCTGTATCAGTCATTTATTTCAACCAGGATCTTTGTCTATTTACTCTGTGGCACACCTGTTCCATTCTTCATCACCTATCTACTCAGGATGCCCTTAACGAGGAGGCAGAATACCATTATGCATACGAGAACATATCATAAAGGCATACTGCTTATATTTGAATCCTCCAGCACTTATAAGCTGAGTGACTTTGGTTGTTATTTAACTTTCTGTGCCTCAGTTTCTTCAACATCAAATGGGAATAGTGACACTACCTCTTTCCTAGAGTTACTGTGTGAATCACATGAGTTACTATATGTAAAATGTTTAGAAAAGTGTCTAGCATATAATGAGGTATTTATCAGTGTTTGCTATTCATTTGTATTCTTCTTTCTGCTGAGGCACTTTACGTGAATCTCCATTAAAAACTCATAAATAATCAGAATGTCGAGGTCCTTTGTGTGTAGAAGAGGAACGTATGATGGGGAGAACATTAGAAGAAGTGATTCAAAAGGCAGAAATGTCAGATGTGGCAAACGTACACTAAGATATTATTTAAAAATTCTAAATTTAAAATATAGCATTCATCTTTTGCATTGGGTTAAAAAAATCTGAATATGTAGTGAGAAGTATTGAAACATAAATATCATATTTAATGGTCAGAGGGTTCCTAATCACCACCTGATTTTTTACGCCACCAATAGTTTGGCAAATCATTTCATTTCTTTCTACTTTAAAAGCTGTGATGATTGGTAATAAGTTGAGTTTTCTTGTTTAGGTATAGATGTAGGTTTTAAAAAATTATTTGAAATTTTTAGAAAGCTGAAATATAATACATAGCCTTTTTGGCATACTTAAAATGACCTTGGGTCAAAAGAAGTAGGTTACAGTAAAAACCCATTGCTGTCGAGTAGATTCTGACTCACAGCGACCCTATAGGACAGAGTAGTACTGCCCCATAGGTTTCCAAGGAGCGGCTGGCGGATTCCAACTGCCGACGTTTTGGTTAGCAGCTGAGCTATTACCCACTGCACCACCAGGGCTCCAGGTCATAGCAGCTACATCAAAACAATCACTTCATAATATCTTGTCCTTTTTAAATTATACTTTAGCAAAATTTCCATGAATGTATGTTGGTGTGTATGGTTTTTGTTTGATGGAGGAAGGAGTCTATTTAGAATTTGTTACAAAGAAAATATCTCTATATCTCATATATTATGTTTTAAGTTCTATCAGAAGAATGCATCTTAAGCATAATAACAATTGATTTTATATCTTATACAGATTTCTAAAATGAACCATATGGAGAAACACAATCATACTGCAGCAACTGAGGTAACGGAATTTATTCTCATGGGCATCACTGAAAATCCTAGGCTGCAAGCACCGCTCTTTGGAATCTTCATCTTCATATACTTGGTCACAGTGATAGGCAATCTGGGCATAATTATCTTGACCCATTTGGACTCCAAGCTACACACACCCATGTACTTTTTCCTTAGACATTTGTCAGTTACTGATCTTGGTTACTCCACCGTCATTGGTCCTAAAATGATGGTAAACTTTGTAGCACACAAAAATACGATTTCCTTCAACTTGTGTGCCACCCAGCTAGCATCCTTTGAGATTTTCATCATCACTGAACTGTTTATTCTATCAGCAATGGCCTATGATCGTTATGTGGCTATCTACAAACCTCTTCTCTACGTGGTCATCATGGCAGAGAAAGTACGCTGGTTGCTGGTACTTACTCCCTATCTCTATAGCACATTTGTGTCCTTATTTCTCACAATTAAGTTATTTAAATCATCCTTCTGTCGCTCTAACATTATCAGCTATTTTTACTGTGACAGTCTCCCACTGATGTCCATGCTCTGTTCTGACACACATGAATTAAAATTGATCATTTTGATCTTTTAAGGCTGCAATTTGCTCTCTTCCTTCTTGATTGTTCTTGTATCCTACATGTTTATTCTTGTAGCCATCCTCCGAATGAACACAGCTGAGGGGAGGTATAAAGCCTTCTCCACCTGTGGCTCCCATCTGACAGTGGTGGTTGTATTCTACGGGACACTCTTGTTTATTTACTTGCAGCCTAAGTCCATCCCTGCATTTGATATTGATAAAATGGCTTCTGTGTTTTATACTCTGGTGATCCCTATGCTGAATCCATTGATCTATAGCCTAAGGAACAAAGAAGTAAAAGATGCCCTAAAGAGAACATTAAGTAACCGATGCAAAATTCCCACACTATTTTAAAAATTGCTTATGAAGGTGGGTCCAGTAGTCTCTGTTTAACACTGTTAGATCAATTATGATATTAAAAAGTAAAACTAATTTATCAGTTTTTTGTTTGTTTTTTCTGGAAAAAACACTTTGTCTTATATCTTCCCTTACCCTTCATCTTCACTTCAGTAGAAATAAGTATCATAGCCAGGTAATGCCCCAAGTAATTTTTAGTCGTAATGCAAACTGGATTATTTAGAAATGAGACAATTTGTACCAAATTTATGTTAAACATAGGCTTGCAGAGGTAAATTAGTCTAAAATAGCCAAAATGGAGCAACATTAACCAGGAATTTAGTATTATATATTTTATAGCAGTCACTGGGTATTAAAGATAAGTAAGATTGAAACTCGATGAATATGCACACTAGACAAGAAGCAGGAAATAAATAATAAGTGCTTGTAACACAAAATTAAAATTATATTTCAAGAATCTAGGCTAACTCAGTGAAAAAGTGATGCTTTCAATGATTCTACCCATTTTGTGATGTTGATATATACTGATGGCTCTGTAACTGTTCTTGGGAATCAGGCAGACATGGCTATGGCAGCATGCTTGTCCGTTTTCCCACGCTTGCCTATTCTGTAATATTCTTTGGACTCGGGCAGACATGGCTGTGGCAGCATGCTTGTCCACTTCCCACTTTTGTCCTTTTGAATATATGCCAAAGAAAACTTTCTTTTTTACTTTAAAAAAAAAAAAGGAATCTAGGCTTAATGAAGAAACAAAATACCTCCCCTGAGGATGTGGTTTTCAATCAGTTTGACTTAATATTTTGTATCTCAAGGATGGAGTGGGCTTCAGGAATAATTCTAATTAGTAGCCATGAGAAAAATGCTGAATAATTCTAGAGTAGCCTGGACAGATCCTCACACTATAGTCTCTTTTGGTTTATGTGAGCGTCCTAATGAACAAGCTGACTTAAAGTTTGTAAACCAAGTTAAGTGATTTACCTGGCCAGCTAATGGAGTGGTGTCAGTATATTTTGAAGTCGTTGGCAGTGATAACACAGATTAAAGTTAACTGATACACTCAATTGTTAACTGCATTTTTATTTGTGTCTATATTGTTTACTTCATGGGCTTCTATACACAGTGACCCTTACCTTGCTTGGACTCTGCTAACACCATGCTTAATTCACGTGTATACTCACTCAGCAAATGGACTGCTTCCTTACACTTTAGTGTTCTTCTCATCTTTTGAATAGGGGTTTTTCAGATTTTTAAAATATATACACTAACTCAATGGTGTTTGTTTCAATCTTCCCTAATATTTAAACTGAACATTTGAGAAACTGAATCAGAATTTGAACCAGTGTCTCTTGATCCCAGACCTGTGCTTTTCCTTTATTTTATTTTTTTTTTTGCTTTTTTACTGTACTATATTTTATTAACAATATAAATTGAGCATAATTAAAGAAAAACAAAACTGTATTCCCAATCAAATCAATTTTGCTTATCATGTTATCATCAGATTCTGTCCCTAAGCATGGTTAATATTATGAACATATTTTATTTTCTACAGTTATATTTTCTGTCATGCTGTACAGATTTAACTTGTATTTTTTTCTTCCTCAAATTATGTCATCCTCATCACTTTTTACAACCCACAGAGAAAGTTAAATAATATCAATAGCATTCTCCAATATCATCCCTCTCAAATGCACTTTAAAAATATTAGACAACCTCAATTTCTCCACAACTTGCTTTTCTTATTAAGACTGTGTCATCATCATCATCATCATCGTCATCATCATCATCATTATCATCATCATCAACTTGCTTGGTCATTAATATTAAATATTTTTCATTTTTAACAGTAGCATACAACTGTGGAGCATAGCTCAATCACTTTATATTTGACCAGTTCTTGATTTATGGACATTTGGTTGGTTGCAGATTTTCTTTTCTTTTTTTGCTACTATAAAAAAATGAATGCTGTAATAATCAGCGTTATGCTTACAACCTAATACATGAATGCTTTTTATTTCTAAAATATATGTGCAAGGACTCTTCCTCATTCTAAAGATGTTTAGGTGGGTAATTTTTTTACTTATACACTTAATAATATAATTTTTTTGAAAATCACTGAGAAAAAACATGTTACAAATTGTGATTTTTATCAAAGTAGTATTTTTTTTACCCATTTTTCACAAAATGACACTAACATTTACTGATAAATCATTTTCTTTGTGTGATGGAAAAACTGTAAAATGAAAATAATAGTGCTTGACATTAGCTACCTGATATCACAGATACAACCTAATGGTTTTCAAACATCCAATTCTTTTCTTCAGAAATTTTACAGAATTCTAGACCTCACAGAAGTGAATAGTTCAGAAATAATGCAGCGTACCTACATGGACATTCTTTAAATATTTTTACATTCTCAAAATGTTTCCCAGCTTTAGAAACTTTAACTTTCTTTTCATTGTTTTCACTCCGTATGCAATTGATGTCTAGATGCACAAAGAGTTTTTAGCTTGGAAGTTGGACTACATTTGTATTAATGCTTAAATGGCAAAAGTTACAAGGCTGTAATGACTGAAATGAATAAACTGAGCTTCCAGTTATTTCTAAAAATCCCCAAGGTTGGTTTCCTACGTGACCTCGTTAATGAATTCTCCCAATTTGTATTCCCTGGCTTCTTTGTTCAGGCAGTAAGACATACTCTTCAAACCATTTTTTCTCAAAGTAATCAAATTTCCCACATGGAAAAAGGAGCCATTTTGGATCTAAGATATTGGAGAAGGATGGCATATAAACCAGGCTTATCACTTCTACCATTTTATGTTAACCATGCAAGTAGTCCATCGCTAATTTCACACCATTGGATTGAAACCAAGATACAACTTTTAACAAGACTTGATTTTTAGATAGGGATCAAATTTTAATACTAAAATAATATAACTGCTACTACATATGGCTGTTCTCAGAGCAGACAGGCCTAGGCTTAGTCTCAAGATATATAAACAAGCCACTCTACTTCATCTATGACTTGAGATCTGTTCCTATACTCCAGAAGCAAAAGACTCAGAATAGCCAAACCAATCTTGAAAAAGAATGATATTACAAACTTGTTTCTGTCAAGTGGAGTTTGACTCACAGCAACCCTATAGGACAAAGTAGAACTGCCCCATAGGGTTTCCAAGGAACGGCTGGTAGATTTGAACTGTCGACCTTTTGGTTAGAAGCCATAGCTCTTAACCACTGCGCTGCTCAGGGCTCCATGTAGCTATATATACTGGCTTTAAATTTTCAAGATAGTATAGTATTTTGTAAAGATAGATAAATAGTGGAACATAACAAAGAATCCAAACAACATGCCCATATATATGTTCAATTATCCCCTAAGAATCAAAAGTAATTCTGTGGGATACAGGATCAATAAAAATATCCTCCTCAAATCAATAATAATAATTTAAAAAATGCAAATATACAAAAGATTTGAACAGACACTGAAGAAGAAAAATAGAACAATAAACATTTTTTTTAAAAAAGTCCAGCATCCTTAGTCATTAGGGAAATTAAATTACAAATGAGATACAACTTCCTACACACTAGGCTGGCTAAAATTAAAAACACTGACATTACTAAGTATTGGCTACTACTTACATCTCCTGGAATTTTCATGCATTGCTGGTTGGAGTGTGCAGTTGTGTAAGCCACTTGGGTAAAGAGTTTGGCAATTTCTAATAAAGCTAAACATGTACCTACAATATATTCCAGGAATTCTCTTCCTGGATTCTTACCCAAAAGGAATGAAAAAATATGCCCAGAAAAGAACTGGTACATTAATGTTCATGAAATCTTTATTCATTATAGTCTGAACTAGGAATATTCTGGTTCTTCAATAAAAAATTTTTAAAAATAAACAATCTGTGGTATATTCATACAACAGAATACTACTCATCGATAAAACTGAATGAGCTACTGATACAACATCATGGATGAATTTCAGTAATAATAAGTTGCACAAAAGAAACCAAACACAAACTACAGTATTATTATATTTATATAAAGATCTAGAAGAAGTAAAATTAGTCAATGGTGATAGAAAGCATATCAATTTTTAATTTTTTACCTGGGATATGGTGTGGGAGAATTTACTGCAAAGAGAAGTCAAGGAACCTTCTGGGATAATGGAATTACTTCCTTGACTGGGGCAGCAGTAATACAGGTCTCACATAGGTCAAATCTCAGCAGCGTACATATAAATCTACGTGTTTTATTATATGTAAATTATACCTTAGTAGCCCTGATGGTTCAAAGGTTAAATGCTCTGCTTCTAACCAAAAGATTGTCAGTTAGAAGCCACCAGTGGCTCCACAGGAAAAAAGACCTGGCAAATTGCTTCCATAAAGATTACAGCCTAGGAAATACTATGGGATAGTTCTATTCTGTCAGATGTGGTTGCTATGAGTCAAATCTACTCAACAGCACCTAACAACAACAACAACAAATTGGAGGCAGAGCTAGGATGGTGGACTAATCAGCTGCATTAAGCCATCCTGCTGCAACAAAGACCTGAAAAACCAAGTAAAACAGATACAGATGTCAATTCTAAAAACTTGAGCCTTAAATGAAGAGATGAAGTATTAGATTAGAAGTCACTGAGAAGAGGAAGAAACTGATAGCAAATGGGAAAGAATATAGATAGGGAGTAGAGGTTCCAGACCAAAAGGTATGACTCAGCATTGCCATCTTGAAATAAATACACCAACCCCACGTGCAGCTCCACGGAATCCCCAGTAGGAGATAGAGGTAGAGAATCAACAATGTCAGACAACAATCTGAAAGCAGGATACAGGTCAGTATCAGCCAAATACAGACTTGGGAATGAACTCTCAATGGTTAAAAAAAAAAAAGATTCAAAACAGGGAACTAGAGATGTCAATCTGCAAATGACAACGATGTCAGAACAATAAAAGGGGAAATACACTGTGTAGATATAGAACTTTCAAATGGAGAGG